CTTTCGGGTATGTTGTAGGTATGTAGGGCTACCTTTTGGCTATGCTCCTGCAGAATGCGGGGGGTTGGACTAGATGACCTGCCCTTAAGGTCCCTTCCAACTCTGACATTCTATGATTCTATGATCCATGGGACCAGGTTGGTTAGGTACACCGTTGACTTATGGACTGGCTCCGTAGTGAGTAGTAGGGGTCAGGCCTGGGCCCCCATGTTCCCTGCCCCCGCTCTGCCGGCCAGTCCTTTGGTGTCGCACTGACTCATGAGGTCACTTCCGGCATGATACTCTGGGGTGCATACAAAACTCTACCGTTTAATAAGCTTATATCCCTCGTCTGGATCTTATTTGCAATTCTGGGGGGAAAGTATGCCCAAACTAGAGGTTGGCATAGACTCATAGAATCACAGAGTTGGAAGGAGTTTAATAAGCTCATCTCCCTCGTCTGGAGCTCAGTTGCAATTCTGGGGGGAAATGTATGCCCAAACTAGAGGTTGGCATAGACATAGAATCACAGAGTTGGAAGGGGCCTTACAGGCCATCTAGTCCAACCCCCTGCTCAGTGCAGGATCAGCCTAGATCAAGTGTCATTTCCATGACCTTTCCATAGAGATGGTAGACCTGACACTGCCTATCCAATCCATAAGCACAGGAGGCCCTTCCCATGCAGGGCATGAAGGCCGAAAAACCATCATCTGGTCACCTAACTCAAAAGTCAGAGACCTAGCTGTTTTATCATTCAAGTTGCTCTGATTCACCGTGGCCATGGCCTGATTCTTTACTGCAACACTCATCCATCTTCTTCAGCCACTCTCTCTAAAGTACATGACACCGGGTTTATGCTTGCTTTCTGAAAGAAGTGTGTGTGCACATGAAAGCTTATACCCAGAACTAAACTTTCATAGAATCATAGAGTTGGAAGGGACCTCCAGGGTCATCTAGTCCAACCCCCTGCACAAGGCAGGAAATTCACAAATACCTCCCTTTCCACACCTGTAGTGACCGCTGTTCCACACCCAGATGATGACAAAAAACCTCCAGGATTGCTTCCTGACCTCAAAGTGGCAATCAGCATTTCCCTGGGGCATGTAAAAAAGGGTCACAACTAAGCACTGAGGCAACCCTTCCTGCCCTCCCTCTCATGATCTGCCTAATTCATAGTGGTCCCGGTCACACTGGCGGGAAAAGCCACGAAAAGGGCCACAACTAAGCACTGAGGCAACCCTTCCTGCCCTCCCTCTCATGATCTGCCTAATTCAAAGTGGTCCCGGTCACACTGGTGGGAAAAGCCACACCGGAAGTGCGGTTTCTTAGTGCCGCACCAAAGGAAAGCGCAGCATCGGGATCAGACGCTTCCCCCAAGCCGCCACGCATATTCTGTCTGGCGTGATCACATGGCCAGGGGAAGCGAGACAAAGACAGGTGAGCTGAGGCTGATGGAGTATTCATGCGCATGCGCAGTCTGGCAGTCCCTCAAATAACATGGGCTGCCGGCACGTCCGTGATCCCACGCCCGGCCTTGCTGCGGATCTTCCGGTAGGTACTACATTTTCCCTAGTACCTTTTTGATCCTTGTTTTCGGCCGGAAGGAAGGGGTTGGGGGCGGGGGCGCGACGCTTGCCAGATGTTGGCATCTGATCACGCCAGCTTAATCCGCCCTCAACCCGTCCGTTTCACGGGGCAAAGCCTCCCGTGTGACCGGGGCCAGTGAGTCACAGAATCAGCATTGCTGTCAGATGGCCATCTAGCCTCTGCTTGAAAACCTCCAAAGAAGGAGAGCCCACCACCTCCTGAGGAAGCCTGTTGTCCCACTGAGGAACCGCGCTTATCTGAAGCACCTTCCTTTTCTCTTTTAGAGCAAACCTTCCCTCCCCCAGCCAGAACTGCTGCACCCCTGTGATAACACAGCACTTTCTGAGAGGCAGGGGGGAAAAATAAAACTTGAAGGTAGAAAATGAATTCTGCAGTAAACAAAATCAACTGTATGGTTTGGACAGAAAAAAAACTCTCACATAGTCGTAAGAACATAAGAACATAAGAGATGCCAATGTTGGATCAGGCCAAAGGCCCATCCAGTCCAACACTCTGTATCCCACAGTGGCCAGAAATACCAGTGCCATCAGGAGGTCCAGCAGTGGGGCCAGGACATTAGAAGCCCTCCCACTGTTGACCCCCCCCCCCCAAGCACCAAGATGACAGAGCATCACTTGCCCCAGAGCCCCTAGCTATACCTTGTGGCTAATAGCCACTGATGGACCTCTGCTCCATATGCTTATCTAATTCCCTTTTGAAGCCGTCCATGCTTGTAGCCGCCACCACTTCCTGTGGCAGTGAATTCCAAGTGTTAATCCCTCTTTGGGTGAAGAAGTACTTCCTTTTATCTGTTCTAACCCGACCGCTCAGCAATTTCATGGAGTGCCCACGGGTTCTTGTATTGTGAGAAAGGGAGAAAAGTACCTCTTTCTCTACCTGCTCTTTCCCATGCATAATCTTATAAACCTCAATCATGTCACCCCTCAGTCGTCGTTTCTCCAAGCTAAAGAGCCCTAAGCGCCTTAACCTTTCCTCATAGGTGTTCTGCTGCTTCAGACCAACATGGCTACCCACCTGAAATCTAACTTCAGCCTTCAGTTTGATTCGGCCCGGTGGTGGACTATGCCTGAATTTCTGAAGAGCAGATACCTGTCGCAGGTGTAGGGTCAGGATTGGTGTTCTCTCTCCGCTGTGAGCAGGAGTGGCCGCTCATTAATCAGGAAGCTCCGCTCAACTGCAATCTGCCCATTGCCCATTTTAAGATTATAGCAGTTATATTCTGTTCAGGATATGAACAACTCTGCTCATGGGGGGGGGCACATTGGTCAGGATGCCCTTTTGTGGGAAGTGACCTTGCTGCTCATAATTGTTTCACCAGCTCAGAAGCGAAAATAACTTGCTCTTGCTTAGGGGAAAAAAAGACTGTGTTTCCTTCCCAGAGGAACGGAGAGAGCTGGAAATGATGCCAAAGAGACATCAGATTATTCTGCTAGGAGAATAATCTGATCAAAGAATTCTTCCCCTTTCTTGGGTGGACCAAATGGATGGATGGCTCTTGAAACTGGGCTGCTAACAATGCATAGTTGCCCTAAGTTGTGAGTCGTCAGAACTCCTCCGAAAGGAACGTCTGTGGAAAAGGGCCTCAAGACAAAAAATCAGGGTCCTCGCATTCATGCAAAACTGTTATAGCTGGTATGCTATTGTCCTAAAGCAGCTGTCCCCGACATGATGCCCATGGGCACTATGATGTCTGCCAACACCTTGAGAGCCAGTTTGGTATAGTGGTTAAGAGCACGGACTCTAGGAGATTCCACATTGCTTCACGTGCAGCTGCTGGTGTGACCTTGGGTCAGTCACAAGTTCTCCCAGAGCTGCTCTCCCAAGCAGTTCTCTCAGAGCTCTCTCAGCCCCACCTGCCTCACAGGGTGTCTGTTGTGGGGAAGGGAAGGGAGAGGAGATTGTGAGCTGCTCTGAGACTTCTTTGGGTAGTGAAGGGAAGGGTATAAATCCAATCTCTACTACTTCTTCTTCTTCGTTGTCGTCTTTGTTTTCTTCTTCTTTAATGGTACCCATCAAGTGTTTTTTAGAAAGTGGGCAGGGCCAAGCGGGGCTTTTGCCCAGCAAGGCTTCTGATTGGCCATTGCAGGTTTGATTGGCTGTACAGATATTTTAAAATGTTGTTTTGGCAGCAGCTGCCACCACTGCACAAGGATCTTTACTGTGTTACTGAAGGTACACCATGGCAGCCATTTTTGTAGCTGGCTCTACCTCCTACAGCCATCATTTTGTGGTTAAACCTGCCACACCCGGCCAGAATTCCAAAGGTGCCCACAAAGGCTCAAAAAGTTAGGGACCCTGCCCTAAAACACACCATCCTAAAGATCTCTCTCTCTTTCTCTCTCCCTCCCCCCCCTCTCTAGGGTCGAAAGGAAAGAGCGAGCACGTTTAAAGACAGTGAAGTTCAATGCGAAACCCGGCGTGATCGATGCAAAAGGGGTATGTAACCGCAAAAACCCAACTGTGTGGAGATTCCAGTTTCACGGCTCTGTGTAGCTAACAATTGAACAACATGAAAGAAAGGATGACAAAGGAAGGTGCAGGAAAGGAGAGGGGAGAAAAGAGAAAATGCAAAGGTTTGGGCGATAAGAGATGAGCAGGATGGCGGAAGGGTTTCCGTGTAATACAGAGTGTGACATTGCATCGGGCAAAACTGAAAAGACTGAATTCTGTTGCGTTGCGGTACCGGCTCATAAACTCTGATTACCGTTACTTAGCATCGAGAGGACACAGAGTGTTTTGCAACTGGTTCAGAGTCGTGCCTTTGCTGGAACTCGTCAACGCGTCATAAAGTGTGAATAAAGTATGGTGAAAAACCATCCAAGCGCCTCCAGCTTAAAGGGCTGGCGGCCCAACCCAAGCAAGACCCAAACCGAATCAGCTCCCATTTCGTCCTCTAGCTGTAGCTAAGGGTGCCAGCTCTGATTTGGGGGATTCTGGGTTATCTGGGCGTGGCACTTGGGAAGGGTAGGGTTTGGGGAGGGGGAGAGATCTCAGCAGGGTATATTGTCGTAGAGTCCACCTTCCAAAGCAGCGGTTTTCTCCAGGGGAACTGAAGTAGGTAGTCTGGAGATTCATGGAGCTCTGCAGGCCCCGCCTGGAGATTGGCAACCCTAATCTGTACACAGGCCTTGCTGAGTACGCAAAAGTATAAAGGTGTAGCCACAGTCGAGACGTAAAATTGCCCTCCCAGAGCTGATCCTCCCGCTGGTGGGAAAGAAGCAAGAAAGCTAAAGGGTGGTGGTGTCTTCCCCCCACTGGTAAGGCCTGGAGATAGAGGGGCCAGTTCTGGGTTGGGAAATACCTCGAGATTTGGGGGCGGAGCCTGGGAAGGCGGGGCTAAGGCAGAGGGGCCAGTTCTGGGTAGGGAAATACCTCGAGATTTGGGGGCGGAGCCTGGGAAGGCGGGGCTTAGGGAGGGGAGGGACCTCAGCAGAACATAATGCCACAGGGTCCACCGTCCAACGCAGCCATTTTCTCCAGGAGAACTGATCGCCTGGAGATTGGTTGTATTCCCAGGAGATCTCCAGCCACCACCTGGAGATGGGCAACCCCACCTGGAGAGGAGGCGTGCTGATGCGCCTTCTGCTTGCCTCCCAGCTTACCTCCGGCTGCTTTAAATTGAAAAAAAATACAGAAGAAAGAATCGCAGAGCTCAAGGTAGCATGTCGTCTGATCTGCAAATGAAGACAGAGGATATGAACCTCTTCGGGGAGGTCCCTCCGCAGATCTGGGGCAGCCATTGTGAAAGCCAGCCTGGTACAAGAGAGAGAGTATGATCTGGTGGTGAATGATGAAACAAGGCTCTAGTCCCTGTTGGGGATGTAGGCTTTGGGCCGTTGTCAGGTTCAGAGGCGTCGACAATGGGTTGGATCTAAGGCTGGCCTTCCATGTGCCAAATAGCACCTTTCCCCAAAAACTCATTGTTTGAAAACAACAGGTGCTTTCACACATGCTAAATGCCGTTTCAATCCACTCCTGCGACCGTTTGCAAGTGGGTTTTGCCATTTCACCCCGTAAAATCCAGTCGCAAGGTACATTGGGAGTGGGTTGAAAGTGCATTATTTGGTGTGTGTGAAAGCGCCCTATAATCACACCGTCGACATGATCCGCGTTGAGGGACAGCGGCAGGGATTTTACCAGCCATTTCCACAGACGCAGCCACCCCCTTCTCCACCCCTCGAGCCCTGTTGTTCACCGAAATTAAGTATTTTTGAGCATATCTGTGGTTTGGTCCATTTCATACATTGCCTCTTCCGTGGGACGCTCAGAACGCCTGGTGTGGAAACAACTGTGTCCAAAACCTTCCAAACCCGTCATTCTTCTCCTTTTCATAGGCAGCTCCTAGGAAGCTGTGCACTTTTGGGAATAAGGGTGCTTTAGAAGTTATCAATGGATTATTCTGGCAGAAATACCAGGTTGGAAAAGGACTAATTTAGGGGAAAATATAACAGAAGTGCCCTGACCTGGATAGCACAGGCTAGCTCGATCTTGTCAGATCTCGGAAGCTAAGCCGGGTCGGTCCTGGCTAGTATTTGGATGGGAGACCTCCAAGGACTACCAGGGGCATGATGCAGGGCAGGCAGTGGCAAGCCACTTCTGAAATGTCTCCTGCTTTAAAGAAACAAGTCTAGCTTGCCACCTAGTGGTGCTTAACGCTAAAAGAGCTAGAACTTCTGGCTGCCAGACAATCTTCGGATTCCCTGGTTATACTACACACACTGCCATATAATATTTTTATATATATAATGGAAGTTTTATACTTAGATTGTTGTGGCAGATATTGTACTAGTCAGCTGGCATATATGAAAGGCCAGTTTAGCAAATAATGAAAACTTGGGCCCTCCTAGCAATATATTTCCAAAATATTTTTTGTGCCACTTCTCCATACTGTCAAAGAGCTAGCATAGAGGTAGACTTGGGATTTTCAGAGGGGCAAAGATCTAGCACCAAGACAAGTATGCCTCTGTTGATGAAAAATCATACAATCCACTTTAATGCACTTCAAGGCCTTTTAATGTTGTTCAGTCAACTATAATTCTGTTTGAAGGAAGCCACCGTGAGTGCACAGGATGTTTCTTTTCTCGATCTCTCTCTTTGATTTCATACAGAGAGATACTGAGACTCAACCCACTTTGGAAGATAGACCCTTTAAACTAATTCTAGACAATAGGCTGTGATTGCCAAGTTTTTAAGACACCAGACGTTACACAAGCTCTTCTTTATTTTTACGTTTTCCAGGGTTAAACCCCTGGCCCTTAAAATACGGACTGGCGCTGGCCCAAGGGGTCAGGTTGCACTCTTGAATGCACAGTAGACCACTGTTTCCCCAAATATAGCTCTCAAACTCTGTTCAACTAATAAGAGGCCATTGACCTTTCCACTGGAACTAGCCTCTCCCCTGAGCCAATGCTGCAGAGTGTAGGGCAGATGCCCCGCCTCCTGATGAAGTTGCTATGAACTCTCTCGAGGTAAGGGAGTATTTCTCTTTCAGGGAGCCCCACATGGCCGGCACAGAAGGGTGGGTGGAGGGTAATCTCAGGCTCTTATCCGAACAACAAGAATTTTATTTATTTACTTACTTAAAGAGAGGCAGTTTGGTGTCGTGGTTAAGTGTGCGGACTCTAATCTGGGAAAACCGGGTTTGATTCCTCACTCCTCCACTTGCAGCTGCTGGATGACCTTGGCCAAGCCATAGTTCTGACAAGAGCTGTCCTTGAAATAGCAGTTTCTGTCAGAGCTCTCTCAGCCCCACCTACCTCACAGGGTGCCTGTTGTGACAAGGGGGAGGGAAAGGAGTCCGTAAGCCGCTCTGAGACTCCTAGTGAAGGGCAGGGTATAAAGCCAATCTCCTCCTCCTCCTCCTCCTCTTCTTCTTCTTCCCTTTTCTGCCATCTTTCTTCTTTACAGAACTCAGGGCGGCTTACAACACAGATAAGATACCTAAAACAAAATACATTAAAAACATAAAAGCCAAGATTTAACAATCCAAATTCGGGACTGCTAGTAAACTTAACCAAGCGTGTCCCTAAATAAATCCATCCTCAGCAGTCTCCCAAAGGTTGCGAGTGAGGGGGACAGGTGCACCTCCCTGGGGAGGTTTTTCCATAACCGTGGGGCCACCACTGAAAAGGCCCTCCACCAAAGGAGCTTCCCTGATTGAGGGGACAGCCAGGGGGGCCTCTCCCTGAGATCTTAATTCCTGGGAAGGAAAGATGGTCCTTCAGATACCTCCACCGCAAGCTTTAAAGGACAAAACCAACACCTTGGATTGGTCTCAAGAGCGGATCAGTAGCTGGTGTAATTGCTGTAATTTCCAGGTCACATGCTCCTGATACCTGGCCCCAACCTTTCCTCTTGATTCAAGGCCATTTTGGAAGAAGAGGGATCGAGGGTCCATTTCCTTTCCCCTCCAGATCACATCTAGCCCATGCCTAGACTGACTTATGATGATCCATCCCACCCCTAGAGAAGATCTCTGGTCCTTGGCCTAGAGAACGTTAAGATGGCAACACCCTCCAATAATCGTTGGGATCCCTCGAAGCTTCTCCTGGGTTTTCAGTGGGCACCTAATCTTCCGGCAAATGACATCTTAAAAAATGCCTGCCTCTGTGCGGGAATAAATCGTTCACGTTGCTAACGATGCCTCGTGCAAACCAGTGTCTGGTGAGAATTTAATTACCCTTTAATTTCCTGCGTCTCTCCTCTCGCATCTCGCTAGCGAGGTGAGATCAATCTTATCGCCACTAATTCCGTGACTGGTGGTGACATTTTCAGAAACGGCATCATTAGGGCATCAAGCTGGTCTAGCCTTTTCAAGTCCCCGCGTCCCTCTTTATCTCAGTCTCAACCTGTTCGCCTGTTGGGGGAAGATCATCTTCGGTCTAAATGAGAAACGTGAGTTTTTAGAGAACGTGACGTGTGTAGAGAGGAACGTGAGAGGCTTGATCTTTCAGTTCCTACACGTAAAATATGAATGAATGGCGTAAGGAGGTAGGGAAATGAGTGACCTCAAACAGTTATCTAAGGAATTCTGTATAATGGATTATAAATTTGTTTGGTTTGGATATTTACACACTTCTTTTTGCCCAAACAGGGACACAAAAGTGGCTTGCAAGATTATTCTCTGCTCCTCTAGTTTGTCCTCACAACAACTACCTAGTGAGGGCAGCCAGGCTGAGTGTTTGTGATGGGCCCAAGGTCACTGGGCAGGCTTCCATGGTGGAGCGGGGATTCGAACCTGAGTCTCTCAGATCCTAGTCTGACGCTCTAACCACTCCACTGTGCAGGCTGTGGAAGATGTATGTAGCCAGATCCCACACACAATGGGACTTCTGAGCCAACATGTATAGAATCAGGCGACATAATGTGTGTTTATCTGTGGAGATGGTTTGAGAGAGATCAGTTTCAAGAGGGGATGAGATAAACATCTGGAGCAG